CCGTTAATACAAATACTAATACTGCTTTAGCATAAAATTAGTGGTTAAGTTTAAAAAAAAATTCAATCCTTGAGTTCCAAACACAACACCTTTTTTTTTTTCCTGTTTCTTGAAATTAAGAATTGATGAAGATAAATGTCTACTTTTGTGTTTACTCATAAATTTTAAAGCAAGCTTAAGGAATTCGCAATAAATCAAAGCAAAGCAGAAGTGAAATAGTTAAAGTAAAACGAATGAAGCATCCGAAAGCGATTGCAGTTTATAGTACGAACAGACATTCAATGAGAAACGTTCCGAAAGAAAAAAGGAAGAATGGCCTTGTTTGTTTACATTAGCTACAATATATGTCACGTGATCTATGTGTTCATCTACATTGCTTGTTTACATTAGCTGTGCATAAGTTAGATGATCTTTGAGGTCATCCTAAAGTACCTCATAACTAAATCAAAAACAAATAGACTAAAATCTGCAGATTCTATCAAGTTTCTGTACTGGATATTTGATTATTTGTATAATCTGAAACGATTGCATTTAATGTATAAAATACATGGTACGTGCGGACGTTCTAAATTAAGAAATAGTAGCTAAATTAAGAATACACGGACTATAAACCGGCAAATCCTGTTAAGTTACTCTAGGGGTACTTGTGATTTAAGAAATTAAATTAATCTTTTAATAAGATAACAGATTTCAATTATATTTCACAAATAAAGGAACAAAATTTATAAACACAATACAATTTATAAAAAAATGTAATTACCTGAATGAAAGATTAATATCATTCTACCGGAAAACCTTTGATACTCGAATTCGAAGGAAACGTTGAACTTGAAGAACTCTTTGAAGCTTCCGAGCTCTGTCTGGACAATGGCAAAGAAGCATGACTCTCAAAATTTCTATAGAAATTCAACCTCATGGTGAGCATATGCAGTGTAAAAATGGAAAAGATTGTCATGCCAAATTATCCTCTAAGTACGATGCCCCTTGATATTTTTGGCGATTTTTTATAGCTCTAAAAATGGAGCCAGAAAGCAATGTTTCAAAGATGGATGTCGCCCAAACAACGCCGAAAAGTTTGAAGAATTACAGAAACAACAAAAGTATTCACCTAGCGTGTTCTCGGGTACATCTCATCGTCATCTTATAAGGTATTTCTCCCACCTTCTTAGCATGCTTTCGTAGTGTAGTGGTCTGCACGCTGGGTGGGTTTTCCAGAGGTCCGTGGCTCGATTCCCGCTAGAATAATGCTCATTTTTCATCACTCCTGCTTTAAAAATAATCTAATGACTCTACAATCTTCGAAGGATTGCTCCACATACATTAAGGCAAATCATGCAGTGCCGGAACTCATCTTCCTTCTCCTGATCCGATTACTGGTCACGCCACACGCAAAGTAGGAATACGAAATGTCAACCGACGAATACCGAAGACCCCGCTTACTTAGTGGCTCCGCATGCCTCAGTGGTGTTGGTACGAGCGCCAGTTTCGGACATTCACAGCCATCCATCCGATTGAACGTTAAGTTCGAACAAACTTGACATTCATAGCGAGAACTAATTAAATCTTCATTCATACACGAATTGGTTTTAGCTTTCTTACCCTTTCGCTCTAAATCATGAAAAAAAAAAAAAAAAAAAAAAAAAAAAAAAAAAAACCGAATATTTATCGTGCCAGGCACTCTTCATGAAAATGATGGGACAACGATTAATTAGAACCATCTTGCAAACGAAAACCAAAGGTCAATTAACGGTATTTAATTCCGGAAATTCAAAATACGTGATTTGTAGTACGTATAACCACGTAGCTCTCGTTAGCAAAACTAAGTTCTAGTCAGATGAAACTTGAAGAAAACATTGGCACGTAACAATAAAGCGACAGCGTCGATTCTAGGTTCCCAGAAAACTGGTAGCAGTTTCGTAATTTGGCGCCATATCAAAGGGTACCCTTTTCTATACTAGGACCCATATTTCAGTTTGAAATAATAATCGCAAACTTGTTAAGTGTGTCGACAACATAAGCTTACTTACGGAATCATGGGATAAATTAAATGGCAGCTCCCGAATTTTCTGATTGCACATTGGTATTTTAAACACAGCCGTAACATGTGAATGGACCAATGGGTTTCAAATGCAAAATTTGCTCAGATAATGCTTTGTAAAATCTGAAGCAGTCATTAGCTTTCTGAAGCTCTGAGAAATATCTAATATATAATTCATTTAATCTTGAGTATGTCAAGGCCAATTCTAATTATTTCTTCCATGTAATTAAATAACAAAATTTTCTCATCGATTACGAATCGGCGATAAAATTGCCATGAAACAACAAAATTTGACAGCTGATTCTGAGAGACCAACTATAGCAACCCATTGATCCAATGCGAGTGCCCCGACCACGGTTGCGAGTAAGGTTACAAGAACTTCGCTTGTCACACTAAAATAATATTCAGTATATTTCACTGTCATCAGTATTCCTCAGCATTAAGAGCAATAATTATACTCTTTTGAAAATTAAATCGTTATAGAAGAGGGTTATAAGTATACATTACCCAGAAGAAATATCATGCTATGATAAAGAAACAAGAAGAACTGTGAAAGGATCAGTTAACAGAACTGTACAGTTTCTGCATTCTGTTACACACCAAAAACAATTCAATCATTAGAGCTACTCAGTAGGTGAACAAAAAGAAACTATTTTCCTTAAGTAAGTTTACTTTGCTCAATTACTCAGAGAATGCGAATGTTACCTTAATTAAGAGACGACAAAGGTTAAGATGCTTAAAACGGCCTTCTCAGTTTCCGGATAAATCAAAAATGTTTAATTTTCCTTTATAAAAGTCCTATTTTGAGTGACTAACCTAGAACACTTGCCGTCCGCTGCGATCCCTGAGTTTGCCTTCCCTCTCGATACACAAAATAATAATTAAAGTAAATAAATAAAAACTATATAAATAAAACATAATAAATCTGAAAGGTTTCAGATTTTAAATTACGTCAAAAGGGGGTGTTTTTTTAACATTTTGTACGTTACCTTTATTTATTCAATATCATGTTCTACGTACTCAAACAATAAAATTCAGTTCAACAGCAATCTCAAAAGTTTTAAATCAGGCAACTTAAGAAATTTCCGACACAGAGTCTGCGCGCTAGAGATTAAAAAAAATTTATTATTATTATTTTTATATTTTTTTTGTACAGGTTGTCAGTTTGCTTTGAAATGTTTCGCTTGTTAATAAAAAATTCGTTGAAGTGTTACAAAACATGAAATCGATAATAAAACAAATTTCAAATTCAAATTAGGGCTTCCAAAGCCCATATTCTATGGAAGATTACGTTATTCAAATTCTGGTGGCTCTAGGTACCTTTGTTTTATCACAGAAACATACATGCATTTATGCAGATTTTTCATTATTTAATTTGTTTAAATATATTATAGGGGATAATATCGGGTGGCAACAATTTGAAAAGTGAAACAACGCTTGTCTTGAATTCACTCAAAATGCCAAAATGAAATTAATAGACCTTCTGGGAAAATTATGAGCAAATTACCCCTTTGAATTAAAAATGACTTCAAATGATTATTTTTTAAGTAAAAATTTATTTCCATCGTCTGAAAATCACATTATTATTATCAGTCCAAAGGGGCAATTTGCTCTGGAGGACTATTATTTTCGTTTTGGCATTTTGCGTTAATAATTTTAAAAGGCTGTATCACTTTTGAAATTGTTGCCACCAAATATTAGAGCCCTGTATTATATTTACAAAATAAAAAATGAAGAATCTGCATAAATGTATGTATGTTTCTCGCATTGTGTTAAAAAAATGTGACCTAAAGCCATCCAATTTTGAATAACGTACCTTTTCACCTGGAATTTGGAATTTGTTTTATTATCTATTTTGTAAAACTTAACGAATTTTTGATTACATACTCAACGATAAGAGCGGCATGCCAAACTCACGGGGGGGAACCTTTTTAGGTCGCGCGCGGAACTGTGTTCGGAAATTCCAAAGATAGGCTCTATAAATATTTTAATCCTAGGATTGCGATATTGCTGTGAAAGCTTTAGTATCAGTACTTATCAAAACACGCGGAATATTGCAATTCGAAACATCAGCTTTTTTGCGATATTGTGTTGAAGAGATTTATGGTTTAAATGCAAAGAACGTGATATTTAATAAATAAAGGTAACACACAAAACGTTAAAAACGCCCTTTGGACTTAAATTAATCTGAAAATTTCAGTTTTATTATTATTATTATTATTTATTTATTTATTTATTTAGTTATTTTCTTGTTGATGGCAAAATCATTGATGTCATTTCAGAGATCTACTTAATAGCTCCAGTTTCTGTTATGTTGACAGTATAGGAAGATTTCTTAAAGCAAAAGATACATTTTTAGGCTTTAAATGCTTCTGAAATGATTTTTATTTAGAAAAACGCTTCTAACAACAATCAGTTACAGCAAGTGAGAGGAAAGTTCGTCACAGTATTAAAGTATTTAGAACATTTTCTTGAGATTGTATAAGTTAGAAAGAACCACATTCCTAAGTCTCTATTTCGTTTTCCCTAGCAATAACGGAAATAAAATTTTGAAATATTTCTTCACTAAGAAGGAATTCTTCCTTATCAGTGTCACATATATCATGATTTTGTTGACATTCGTATTACTCTCTCAAAAGCTTCCACTGAGTAAGAATATGAGGTAGCTGTTGTGAATTTCGTACCGATTTCTTTGGATTCATCTAGTGTAAAAGCTATTTTTCCCCTTAAATTTATTTCTTATGCCATTTCCAAACCTCGTTATTCTTCGCCATCTGGACAATCCACATCGCTAAGCCCTACAAAATAATGCTTCACATGGAAAATTCTGCCAACAAAAATATACTGCCGGAAAAGGACCGCTCCTTCCGCTTCCTTCTAGTTAAGACACCGCCTATTTTTGTATCTAGTTCAAATGCGTATTTTATTTAGTTAACAAATTTTAATTAAATCTGTTTTTCAGGTATGGTTCCAGAACAGACGAGCCAAGTACCGGAAGCAGGAGAAACAGTTGCAGAAGGCACTTGCAGCGCCCTCTGTACTCCCTACCTGCAACGGGGCCATGATGCGAAATATTTACCCAACCGCGACTGTAGCATCGAGGGGATACCAGTACCCACCACCAAATGCCATCAACAGCATGGGCAGCCGTTATCAGCCCATGACATCCAGCTATCCACCAATGGCTGCCCAGCCTTTTCCCATGGGACATGCGAATCCTAACATGGCAGCAGCTATGCGGCAAGATGCGGACGAGGACTGGTACAATAAGAGCTTTCCTGCGCTACGAATGAACACGACACCTCATCCAAACCTTTCCGCAGCACCTATGCTTCAGTACCAGACATAATAGTTTCCGTAAAAAGCATGAAAAGAGTGTGTCTCAATCTGGCATCAAGCACAAAAGACACTAACTTACTGACGAATCAGAGACAAGGCAATGCTATGGAACATAGCCATGGCTATTAGGCATTGTTTCGTTTCCACAAGAAGCCTCTGATATGTGCGAGACAAGATTTCCACCTGCGCACATAAGTCTAATGCACTGGAATAAGAATGCACTGGAAACGGACGTCACAAAGCTATTCTTAATCAACCAAAGGATTTCTAGTAACTAAGCAAGGAAATAATTTTACTTTGTTATGAAAAGAAAAATTAAGAAATAGCTGTCATTTATTATCTTTAACAAATAATAATCAAGTTAAACAAAATAAATCAACCACATCTTTGAGTAAATTAAAAACGGCCACTATCTAAAGGAGCTCAGAAACATACCGATTTATTTTATTCTTCAGACAAAATGGCAAAGGTTTTCGAATATTTTAATAATTCCTAGTACATAAATATATATTTTTAACTGCTGTGACAAAAAAACGAAATACATCAATGTTCCAAAGCTCAGCAACCCACAGCGCATCATGAACAGGCTTTACTTAAGCAGTGAGTATGCTAGAATTTTTCAGAAGAAAAACACGTTCTCTGAGATGTGAGATTGAGCTTAATGTGTATAACGTATGTGGGACTTGTAAAGCTCCTTCTTGCATATCTTTTGCTGCTATTATTTTTCTTTCGGAAGATCAACTGTCAAGTTGCTGAAGCATCTTCGGTGTTCAGTACACTTATTTCTGTGGAGATAAAAGTTAATTTTTATGAGGTTTCAATTTTAAGAAATAATATTTGTGCTTTTTAAATCTCAAAGAATAAATTACCTCAACTCTCGTTAAGTTACGACTAACAAAGCATAATAGTTGACTCTGTTTTGAACTCGAGAGGCTCAATGCCAAACGCTAGTCTGTATAAAATATATTTCCTCAGCTTTACATTAGTTTTGTATTCTTTGCTATTTGATATCAAGTATCTGACATGTACTTCTAGAAGAACTAATATTCCTAATCATGCAAAGATCTTTTCACAGAATACATGTTTGGGTGCTTGTGATACACTATAAGCGCCATGAAATTCCATTTATTACATTTACTTTTTTATTGTAAATAGCTTGGATTTCAGTGTTAGAGCCTAAACTAGATATATTGGATTGCTTATGCCTCTTTTTGTTAGGCAAATGCATAATTATTTATGACAGAATAAGCTACCTGTCAAAATCAAAACACCGTATTAAAAGAGAGCAATGATTTTCTGATTTTAGTTTAAAGATTCCAACTAATTGATAAATGAGCTGTTTTCTTTGAAAGTGGTGTAAGTCTGTTTTTGACGAAAAATTGGATAATAGTAACAATGAATGCAATATGAGTTTTTTTATCTCTAAACAATTTCCCCCAAAGTATCTTTCAAAATTTTAATCATTTTGTCAATGTAAATTTGCGTGGTTAATGAAATTACAAATATAATTACTTTGAAATTGATATAAGTCCACTTTTCATAAAAACATACTATTTATTTAAAACTTGTACTGCATAATTTCTCTGCTTCTCTTTTATATGTGTGGCAACATTGTTAATGACATAAAAATATTCTTTCGTTCACTGGAATTTTGGTACTTCGCCCATTTTTGGTAGAGTCTAAAACTAAGTAATGTGTTTTGTTTGTTCACTTAACTTGAAGTAAATGAGTACGATTATCTCTAAAATTAGTAACTGTTAATTTTATAAGAATATATTATATAACCTTCGAAAAAATCGATAATGCCATCTTAGAATCGGACAGTGATTCAGGTAGGTCTCATAAAATTAACTCTTATTTTGTACATTTCCTTCTTCATTTTAATTAATTTAAATGTTTTATAATTATTATTTTATAGAAATTATTCTACTGAATAGAAAAAAGAATCTTGAAATCAGATTCCGATGTAAATAATATATATTTAATAAAACTTTCATAAAAAATTGGTTTCATTCAATTAAAATCCCATATTTAATATTTCATAAATGAATGTATGATTTTTCACATTTTGTTGAATTTGAAAGTGGTTTAAGTCCATTTAATCAAAAGTGTCGATTTCTTTTTACAAATACCTTAAAAACAACCATATTATAATTCAAATCAATTTAATACTTAAACCACATAAGATGAGAGTGTTAACATATACCAATATTTCCCAAACCATTCAAATACAAGCCCTTAAATATTTTCATATAATAAAAAACGAATTTCCATCGCTTTCAAAGAAAACGAAATGCAGTAATATTCATAGGAAAATGAATTTCATTTTACTTGCAAAAGATTTTATTGAGCAGGCTATGTGTTAAGTAATAAAAATTTCTTTTAACAGAATCTTTCTTAACACCTATAAGTACACACCGGTCAGTTTGACCGATGGGCATTTTTACGTTCTGATTTTTGGCACACACTGGTTGAACAATGGAACTGAGGGAATTTGTGAGCTTTACATTACACCACTATATAATATGTCAATGCTTGGTAACAACAAGTTTTCTGCTTTTGTAAAAATTTCAAAATCGCAATACATTTATTATCAGTCATAAGTTCTGTTTGTTAATTCAAATGTTCTTTAATTTTTTATTGCCTTACGATGTTTTTTACATGGTGAAGTGCGTAAGAAAACATTAAAAATGCATACACCGTCAAAATGACCGCATGTGTAACTTTTATAATGAACATGTTTTCTTATAGGTGTTAAATTATGTATTTATTCATTTGTAAACGGAATATCTGCTTGAAATTTTCTTTAAAATTGTTGATGCTACCATAGTTATCATCTAAACAATTTGCAATTTAAAATACGTACTATTAGGAAGGCACCTAAAGTTAGGAAATAATATGTAATTTTAGAATTGGAATACTGTCTTCATTTTTTTTGTATTTTTCCGAAATATAAAACAATTTTTTCAAATCTATTAATGTAAATTTATATCTTAATGTTTGCATCGAAAGAAAAACGTTTATTTTTACTGATCTAAGATAGAATATTTAGACCTTTTTATTAATTCTTTATTATTTCTTATTCTCTACCCAATGAATATATAATATCTCATGTATATAAGCCAATATCACACGCTAGTTATTCTTTCCCTTGTTTCAAAAATTCAAGATCATTTAACATGTGAGACTGTCAGCAAATATGATAATTTTTTATAATATCTTCTTGTTATAACATTTTGTCTTTATAAGAATGACTCAGTTTCATTTTATGACAATTGTTTTAAAAAATGATATTCAAAGATTTAATTTTAAAAGCTAAACAATATCACCGCAACTTTATGAAAACAAAAATCAATTCTCATGCAGCTTTCAAGAAGAACGTTTCTAAAAATTGAATTTTAACTTGGCCTTAATTCAAAAACAATGATTTTCTATGATACTCATATTAGTCACATTACTCATGATTTGGCTTATAAAAGACTAATCTGAAAAAATTTTATATTTGAATTAAACTTGTGCTACACTGATATGGCTACAATGGCCGGCTATGTAACATTAAAAGAAAGATACTGAAAGCATCGACAAACAAAAGATTTGTTTTCCATGGATTGGGCACACATGGTCTCAGTTGCATGTTTCGTGCAAGATAAGTATACAAATGAAGTTGCTAGGTTATGTCCTTCTCAACGCCCTAAATCAGTGACGTCTCTTGACTTACAGAAGTGGAAGAAACGAAGACGAAAAAGGAATTGGAAGCAATTATTTTGAAACAGACTTCTGAAAACCAATATTCCTGGTCGAGAAGAGCAAACTTTTCAGTTCAGTAACGCTTAACGCTTAAACCCTGGCTTTTCTCAATGGTTTTATGAAAGTCTGTGTCATGATTTCCATAGTTTCTTAGTTTGTTACCATTCGTTTCTCTGAGCACCAAACATTGAACCAATACTGAACATTACACACTAAGTTTTATGAGGGTCACATTAAAATTGAGATATATAAGGTATTTCTCCCCCCCCCTTCCTAGCATGCCTTCGTGGTGTAATGGTCAGCACACTGAGCCGGTATTTCAGAGGCCCGTGGTTCGATTCCCGGCAAGGCGTTTGCTCATTTTTCATCTTGCCTGCTTCCAAAAAACATTTAATGTCTCTACAGATAGTGCTAAATGGTAAATTTACCACATCTTAAGATTATTCAAAGTAATGTTTCCCCAGCATCAATAAAATTTTGTACGCAGAGTGTTTTGCTGATAAACAGCAGAACTTTTATGAGTGCGGAATTAATACGTTACCAGAAAGATGGCAAAAGGGCATCGAACAGAACGGAAAATATTTGACTGATTAAAGTTAATTTTTTATACAGAAAAAAATTGAGTTTTGTTTCACATTAAAAATCCGAAATCACATTCTAGCTAACCCGATAAAAACAAAATAATTCAAATTCAGATATAGAATGTCAATCAAGTCATCTTCAAAAGTTTCTTTTTTCTTGATGCTCAAAAGTGTAAACATCATTTTGATACCCTCTGCACACGATCGATCACAATTAAGATGTTTTCATAAATGTTCATAAAACTTTGCTCTTTCAGGGATGAAATTTATTAAAATCCGAAACTATGCTTTGCTTATGCCACGAATGTCATCGATAAATATTTTCCATAACTTCTTGTCTATAAAACCAAACACTTTCATTCTTAAAGCAGGAAAATTACTGTTGGCGTAGGATATATTAGTGCCTTGTGAAAAGGCCTGTAGAGTAATATAAAGCCAGAATCAGAGGTGGCTTCTTATACATTTACCTATTGTAAATAACGTGTTTTTCATGGTATTTTATCAAAATTTTATGACTGAAAATGTTTTATCTGTGTAGCGTATGTTTGGAATCTACACACATATCGATAAGCATACAAAAATGCTAAAAGATATCAGTTAATTCAAATAACATAACACGCCGAACGAGTATTAATTTAAAAGTCAAGCAACAAAAATCAGCGCTATATTTGCAAATTTTCACTCGTTTCGCTGGTTTTACCGAACCATTATCCTCAGCTACGAAAGCACAAACGAACAAGGTAAGACATAGTAATTAGATAAGATAAGAATGGATGGACAGGGGTTAAGCTACCGGCGATATCTATTGATGAAACTAGAACTAAAACATAATTTCCTTAAAGGCTGAAGGCAAAGATGGATTGGAACTAATGGAAAGATTTACTGAGGATGGTAAAACCATCGAAACTAATCCTATGAAAATTTCCAAATATAACGCTGAATTTTGCTGTTTGACTTCCAAATTAATGTATATCAGTTAGCTTAAGTGCTCGTGAAAGGTCCCTTTGAAACCAAGTACGATCTGGAAGGTAAATTAAGGTAGTAGCTTAATAAGAAAATTTGTGCTCATATTTAAAAATAATAATCTATATAACTTTACATTAATTTAGAAACTTGTATGTTTTATGATAACAAAATGTAATAATTAATTTTCAAGTTTACTAAGTTAATTTTTCTAAGAGAGCTTACTATGTTAATTTTATTATGGAATCTAACAAGCAATAATAAACAAACTGAAACTAAAACACTTCAATGTAAAATTTAAAATTAGGCAAAATAGCAGCATTTGTTTGGTATAGATTTTAAGGGCAACCAGACATAAATCTCTTTATTTAGGAGCAAAATATTGCATATGTATATATTTTAATGGCGTTTGTAAGACTCATTCGTATGTTTTCATAATTGATCAAAAGGAATAAAATTTTCGAATGTATTCGCGTACAGTTTTTCTTTATGTATACTATGTTTTCCTCCCATTTCAATTTAGTTTGATTTTGAATTTACTTTTGTTCTTTGCTTGTAAGTAATAGTGTCCCGAATAACACGGCGAGATATTTCTTGGCATTCCGAGATTATTAAAAATATTATTTTGCAATTGAAAACAATTAATTAACAGCGATTTCAGTCGCATAATGGCAAGAAGAACGAATTTTGTGTTCGGCACTCGTTCATCGTCCGCCTTAATTGTTTTAAATACTAACCCCATTGGAAAGTTGTAATCGAAAAGTATTAAACAAAAGATAATTAAATATTTTTATTTCATACTCTTGTTAATACATTTTCTAACTTGCCGTTTAAATTGCCGTTTAAAAAAATTTCCTTCTCTGGCTTTAATTATTTCACTTCCAATTTTTCCGCCCAGTTATATTCTAATTTTACCGCCCTACACGTTTTCCTCAGATAGGAAAACCTTTTCAATTTTTTTTAAAGAATCCTTAATATTTTTTTTTTTTTTTGGGTGTATATGTGTGTGTGATAATTACTTTTTAATTTAATCCTCTACATCTTACGCTCAGGAGTTTTTCAATTAAATTTATCTAATTTTTCTTTTCGTATTGTTTGTTAAGTATACATACAAATATATATTTAATATATATATATATATTATTCTATTCTGTTTCTAATTAATGGGCCTATTCATTTTTCTCTCAGCCTAATATATAGCCCTTTACCAGTTAAGATACCTCCTTTATCTTTATGCTTTTTAGACCATTGCCTGAAATGAATTAATTAATTTCTTCTGTTTGATTAAAAAATGTTTACTAAAACTGATCTCTGACGACAACTTTAATTAACAATAAAATTATCTCACCAAGTTAGGGCTACCATATCTCAACAGAGAAACAACACTTCATCAACCACTTATTACGACACCCTATTATATTCCATCACTGAATACATTTACATCCCCCTCCCCATTTGGTTTTAAATTTTGCATGCAAATAAGTTAATTTTAATTTCTTACCTGGCATTTTTCCCTAAATTTGTATATAAATAACTACTTTTAATTTCTCTTATTAATATAAAGGAATATATAAATTTTAAATTTACTTTTTACTTAAATA